GATCGATCTTACTTGACAATGATTCCAGAACTCGTTTAGGCTCTGAATCTACATAATTATACATTTTAAGGCAATTATTAGATACCTACACCTTGTAATTTGATACTAGAAACTTAACCAAACTCATTAAACCAATAATCACTTTTCTTTTAGGGGAATCGGTTCCCTATTATGGGGGAATCGGTTCCCCAAAGACATTCTAGAATTTCTGGTTCGGTTGAGGGGGTATCGATTCCCCTTTGAATGGGTACCGATTCCCCCTTAAATAGGTATCGATTCCCATTGAATGGTACCGATTCCCTTAGCCCATATATCATGTTTTGAGCTCGAAAATCACTTCATTTTTAGCTCCACACTTCCTATTTCACTTCCTTTAATATTCTTAACTCAAATATACATACTTAAACTAATTTATACCCATTAATTTCATCTTAAACCTCAAAATTCTATTCTCCATATAAAAATCAATAATCATACCAAATTTTCCATGTTACCCAAACTTAATTCTAACACTTCTAGCTTCTTATTCTCATAGATGACAAGTCAAATTCATCCTCTAAATTCATATAAACCTTCTTATTCAAAATTTCACTTAAAACTCCAATTCTTCAATCTCATCTAACTCATTTATCTTTTGATTTTAAGATAACTTAAGCTTTCCTTAAGCTTAGTTATCATCTAATGATCAAAACTAACTCATAAAATCAACAATTAATTGATTAACCAGAAAACTCACCTTTTCCTTGAAGCCTTCACGGGAGGAGAGGAAGAAGAAGAAGAAAGAGTTTCCAAATAACTCTTTCCCCCACCCCCACGTGATTCATGATTCATATGTATTAAGGGGAAAATATCTTTCTTGTCAAATAACCATATTGCCCTTTAATTCCTTTAATAATTACTAACAACTTTAAGGAAATATCTACACATAAATCATTGAACTATTCAACTATCCTATTTTTATCCCCAAATTCTAAAATTTTACAATTTAATCACCAACTCGGTATTGAGAATGTTACACAAAGTACAAAATAGTATGAGTCAAAGAGACTATTCAGCCAAACATTTAGGGTGAATTTTGACATTATATCTTCTTAGAAGAATAACTTTGAATCAATCTTACATGATTGATGGGGATATAATGCTTTGATTTTATCTTGGATCTATAATATTGCATCAAATCAATTACATAAGGAATTGACATATGCAACTAATTATTTTTTGATTTAGTAAGATCTGCGTGAAATGTTTAATAAAGTATATGAATCTATAATATTTTTCTTACATAAAGAAATCCATTTATGTGTTCAAGAAGTTATTATTTATCCACATATAATTCAAAGTTGTGTTTACTTTGAGATAAAAATGCATGTTTGATATTAATTATGACTGTTAACTCAAAAGCATACATTGATTATATTCAATAATAGAAGTTATTATAATTTTTATGGAACTCGATGAATTTTATAGTGTACCTTAAGTTAATGAAACATAAGAGAAGTTACTATAAGAAAGATTCTTTGTTGGTATAAACATATTAATGACTTTTAAAATCTACTACTATTTATTCTTCAAATGTTCCACCAAAGAACAAAATTCAGTGTAATATATGATTATTTTTATACTAGAGGTTATAAAAAAGAGTCGTGTTATCATTTAATTAACTTTTTAGATTATAACTATCAAAAGAAAATTTTGATCGTGTCAATAACGTTGTTATAGAAGAATCAATGCATGAAAATGTTGAATCCATTTATTACAACACATGTTTATACAAGAATAATATGAACAATTGTTGTAGCTTCTTTACAAAGAACCTTCAATTGATGTGGTTGCAAATATGAAGGGTATTATTTTTATAGATTCTATTGGAAATGATTTTGAATGGATATTAAACATTGATGTTACTAACCATATGATTTAATATTTGTATTGTTTAACATATATAATTTTTATGACTTCGTATCTAATTCTATTCAAATGTCATATGATAAGTCAATCAAAATTACACATATTGGATCTTGTAATTTGTCTAAAGATAAAAAAATGATCAATATTCCTTATACACTAGAATTTAAGTTTAACCTCAATCTAACTTCAAAATATACAAAGGACTTATATTGTTTTGTTTCTTTCCATTTAAAGTTTTGTATGTTACATGACCTATCTAGTAGGAAGGTGTTTCTTCTCAATAATTTTTTTTTTGCTTCAACTCACTATAATATATCTCATTTTATTTATTTTACAATTGTCAATGATTATGTGTAAGGCATATTCTCCTTAGACATACTTATAATTAAAAAAAAGGTATCAAATACTTTGTCACCCATAATACCTGACCTATAATCTATGAATGAATTGTGAAGATCACATTGATCATCGAAGTGATCTTTGAAAGAAAACATATTTTTCAAACCATTTTTAATAACCTTATCAAATAAAGTAGTAAAAAATCATGTCATAGTTAAAAAAATTAAAATTAATATTTAGTCATCGCATAATATAAAACCGAGATCAAATCTACTATTATCAAATCGATCATATCTACATAATTTGAAATGGAAAATCATAAAAAGAAAGAGCTATAAAGCTCAGTTTGTCATCTATGTACAATCAGACATCAACATAAAAATACAAATATTACAATTAAAATGGCATAACATACAATATAGTATTCACATAAATTAATTGACTTAATTAACTACCCATCATTCGAACACCATAACAAAAGATTCCCTTTAACCTTGTGCCTCGTTACAACCATATAGGATGGAGACTTTACCCTCTAAAGAGGAACTTAGACCTTCGAAGAGGAACCCAAAATAGAAAACAAGATGGGGACTTACCCTTTGAATATGAGCCCGAGTTAACCTCCAAAGAGGAATTCAAAACAAGAAACAAGATAGATATCGACATCAATTTTTGATGTAATTGTCGAAGCCATCAAAATAAAACCTACTTAAAATAACTTGTAATAGTAGGTAGAACCGAATACATAGAGAATGATGAGAGATTAGTTTTATTAATAAACAAAGAAAAATAAAAATAGGGGGTTTGTGTGTGTGTTTGTGTAGAATTGGAAAAGAAAAAAAGTAATTAAAAGGAAATGAATTTGATATGAAGATGAATTCTAATCAATGTAGATCTTGGTGTATTAATTCAATAATTATATCATAGATCTTCTCAAAATATGAACCTACATTAATCTCAAATATGAACCTACATGAATTCTAATCAATGTAAAGCTTACAAATCTATATATACTTAGTGAGTAAGCCTAAAAGATATAAAGATACTTGAAATAGATAAAATAAATAAGATCAAAAGATACTTGAAATATATACAGGTTGGTGTTGCACGTGGTGGGCCTCAGGCGTTTATTGAGCAGTGGGAGAGAATTGTTTAGTAATAACATGCATGGTGAAATTGGCGTAATCTCAGCAGCCCAACCTGGTTTATCGTGATTGGTAATCAAAGTTTTTGCATTTGTATCGCTTTTAAAAGAATGAAGAAGATTGTGAGGAGACAGAAGTTAAGGCAATTTGACAGTAGGGTGTGGTTGTTCGTGGTTTTCCTGCGAAGGTGTTCGCTGCTGATCGGACGGGGATTGTTCAATGAAACGAGGGCAACGCTTCGCGTGGGTGAGGATTTGGGCACTACTTTCTCAGTTTTTGGAAGAGTATGTGACTTTAAGTTTGGAGCACTTTGTGCTCTCGGTTATAGATAGTGGGTGAGTTTTTCGCGTTTAGTAGAAGGTTCGTGTAAGGGCAGAGCTAGTATAGATCTATGTCGTTGTTTCTCTATGGCCCGCGATGGATTCGAGTGTTTTAGAGTTGTTCGTAGTCCCGTTCTTTTGCTGTTTGGTTGGCGCTGATAAGGTTCAGATCAATGTTTAGTAACCTTTGATAAGCATATGCTCTACTATCTTTTGTCTCGGTGATTGTTGCATGGTTTTGTTCTTTGTTTTTGGATGTGTGTAGTTCCTTTTCGAATTTCTTTCAGGGGTAGTGTGTAGCTACATTGATGTAGTCTTTTCAGGCTGTTCTAGTGGTGTGTTATCGGCTGTTTTTCTTGTAGTTCCTGGGTTATTGTTGGACCTTCTTCCATCCCAAGGTTCACTCTTTTTCCTCTACTTAGGATTAGAGAGGTTTTTTTAATGAGGTCCTTGGGGTGGTGTACTTTGTGAATTCTAATACAAAGTAACCATTTTTTATAAAAAAAATATTGTTTGGCAAGAAAATTTTATTAATGAAATCTAACAAGTCTAACGTGAGTTGTATGTCTCATAACAAACCTCTTTAATTTATAAACCTCATTAAAATATGTCATAATAAAAAAACCGATGACTGAATTATGTATCATGTTGAAAACTCCTTTGATTTCCAAAATATAATTTCACGTTCTTCGATAGAAGTTGAGTATAGGATGAGTATGGCAACCACAACAGTTGAATTGTTTTAATATCCCAATTAACTTACATTGTAACAATGGAGATAGCATCGAATCCAGTATATCATAAACGAACGAAATAAATAGAAATTGATCGTCATTTTAACAAAGAAAATACTCAAGACAGACTCAAACAAAACTAGACACATTTCGACTAATGAACAAGTGGCAGATATAATGACAAAATGACTCAGAATTATGCAACACAATTGCCTTGTACCCAAGTTAGGAGTGAAAAACATCCACTCTCCAATTTGTGGGAGAGTATAGACGATTAGTTGTAGTTAGTTCAACTCTTAATTAGTTAACTGCGGTTTAGTTTTATATATAGACGGAGAAAAGGAATAAAAAATCAATCTATTTTTTTCATTTATCATTTATTAATTCATTACAATCTTTAACTTCTTGACATTATCGCAACTATAGATGCAATAAATATTATAACGATCATTTATCTTAAAGAATATATATTCTTCAAATTTAATATCAAAAGATAAATATTATTATTATATATAAGTAAAATATTTTGATACAATCCAGTTAACAAAAAGTTAAAAGATTCAACTTGAAAATAAAATTACAAGAAAAAAAAATCTCAAATTGACTGATAACGATGCGAAATAACAATGATTATTTAATAAACACACTCGCAATACTTTTTAAAAATAACTAAAAAGAATTGGTATTACAAATAAGAGCATAGGCAGCAGAAATTTCCAATTCGACTTATAAGAGTGAAAGGATCAGGAGTCCATGAATCTTCCAACCTGCAAAATCCGTACGCCATGAAACCAAATGAGAACAAAAAGTTGCTCAAAATATCTCTATAACAGAAAAATTACTTCAATAATTGACCAATCAAAAGTCACTCATTATTTTATAGTCCATGTGACTTTAATAATTGATGAAAACATCACCTTCAAGAGTTATTACTCGGATCTAGAGAGAGCAAGTGTAACCGGGAGGGGGAGTTTTCCCACAGGTGACGAGGAGCTGAAGAGCAATTGGGACATAATTTTTGAGATTGAGGAGTTTGAGCTTGAGGGTGGTGCACAAGCAGGCAGCAGCTTCAATTTCAACAAGTCCATGTAGGAGCGGGCAGCATGCATTCACAGCTGGGTCACCAACACCAACGTGTACTGCCCCTCCTAGCAGGTCCACACAAGCTCCCAGTTTCAGTGTGTCGATTGGACATGTGGCCTTGCTTGTTGGTGGAGTTGGGCAGGGTATTCCATTTGGTGGGTTAGTGATTGGTGGCACTGTCACCGGAGGAAGTGTCACTGGAGGGAGGTTAATTGGTAGCTTTACAGGAGGGAGTTCAACTGGTGGCTTCAGTACAGGAGGAACGGTCACCGGAGGGACCGTGACTGGAGGAACGGTCACCGGAGGGACCGTGACTGGAGGAACAGTAACCGGAGGAAGTGTAATTGGTGGTTTTACAACTGGAGGAAGTTCAACTGGTGACTTCACTGGAGGAAGTGTAATTGGTGGTTTTAGAGCCGGAGGAAGTGTAATTGGTGGTTTTAGAGCTGGAGGAAGTTCAACTGGAGGAAGTGTAATTGGTGGTTTTAAAACTGGAGGGAGTTCAACTGGTGGCTTCACTGGGGGGAGTGTAATTGGTGGTTTTAGAGCTGGAGGAAGTGTAATTGGTGGTTTTACTGCTGGAGGTAGTTCAACTGGAGGAAGTGTAATTGGTGGTTTTACAACTGGAGGGAGTTCAACTGGTGGCTTCACTGGAGGAACACTCACCGGAGGAAGTGTAAAGGGTGGTTTCACTGCTGGAGGAAGTTCAACTGGAGGAAGTGTAATTGGTGGTTTAACAACTGGAGGGAGTTCAACTGGTGGCTTCACTGGAGGAAGTGTAATTGGAGGTTTTACAACTGGAGGGAGTTCAACGGGTGGCTTCACCACCGGAGGAACAGTTACAGGAGGAAGTGTAATCCGTGGCTTGACAACCGGAGGGAGTGTAACGGGTGGTTTTACAACAGGAGGAAGAATGACCGGAGGGACATTGACTGGTGGCAAATGGATTGGGGGTTTAACAATACGGCGTTTATGCTTGTGATGTGCATGGCGACAGGAAGCACGGGCAAGAATCGGAGTGGCAGAGGAAATGAAAAGCATGCAAATGAGAAGAAGAGAAGAGATTTTGGTGGAATCCATGTTGAGTTGATTCATGAAAGTCATAAAATATTTGCAGGGAAATGGGAATTATATAAGAACAGTAAAGAATAGAAGAAAACAAAGAAACACACTAAAAAGAATGATGGTCACGTGAACATACATGAGCAATAAGTTTCAGAAACAAGCAACTGACAAACTTTGCTAGTTGGCAATGACAAAACTATTGCAATGTAAATGCCTTCACAAACACATCGGCAAAGTCCCACCGTTCGTTCTCTACATATCTCTATTTGGTTCATACAGCCTTTATATGTATGTATATATATATTACAGCTCATTAGGTCGGGACACTTGGTTTGTTACTTTCCTTCAAAACGCAGGGTTTCGGTTCCAGTCTGAGGTACTTTCTCTTCAGAGACAAGGATAAAGAGAAATAGGTATATGCAGTGCATGTGGAATGGTGGTGGCAATGAAAGCGAAGAAAAATGGTGGGGGATCTTTTTTAATATACATTTTTGTTCTTTACGCTAAACTCTAAAATAATATTTTAATATTTAAACTTATACATTTTTTAGGATAAAGTACACAAATGGTCCCCGACTATAGGATATTATTTTGTTGAGTCTCACAACTATTAAAAGTTATAAAACGATCCTTCAACTATATGGTATTGTTTTGTTGAGTTCTCGCCTATTAAAAGTTACAAAATGGTCACATGCCTATTTATATGTTCCATACTCATCCTTTTTCGGTAAAAAAAAATGATAGTCGTCTTAGTTGGACGTTAACATGCTGCCTGAGATATGATAGCCGTTTGAGATTATGTGATCATATTTTAGTATATCTCAATCAGCATGTTAACGTCCAACTCAAAATGCCCTTAATTTTTTTAATGAAAAAGGACGAGTTTGAAACATATAAATAGTCCGGTGACTATTTTTGTAACTTTTAATAGTCAGGGACTTAACAAAGCAACACTTTATAATTTTAAATAATTGGGGTACTTAATAAAGTAACACCCTATAATCGATGACTATTTTTATATTTTACCTAATTTTTTAATAATCTGAGTGATTACAAGATAATATCTATTCAGAAATTAATTGATAACGTACACACACCTTATAATTACTCAAAATCAAGACCTTTAGAGAAAACAACGTTAGCTAGACTATAAGAAAGTATTACTACATATTAAACTAACAACTTTCATATTACTAAAATAATAATAACGATATATTTGTCATTTTTTTTTTTTTTTTGCATTTGATATACAATAACTTCATTTTCAACTATAAATCGAAAAATAATACATATTTAAGTATATTTGAACCGATATCTTTCTATGAGTTAGGGCTCAATCGACATAAAACAATACATTTACCTCATATGTAGTGGCAAAGGTTAACATTTTCTATGAATTATTAAATGTTTCAAATTTAAAATGTTATAAATACGACTACAATATAAAAAATGAATATATACATGAATTGTGTTTAAGTAAGTGAATTTTGTATTTTTTTTTCTGTAAATCTCAAGTGTTTTTCAATTATTTTATTAAATATTAAATATTGTTATATTTTCAACTTAAAACTTTAGTTAAACTAAAATAACCTTATTTCAGTTTATTCAAATACTTGATGACGAAGAATTTCATACTTTATCGTCAAAGCAATAAAAGAAAAATAATTATTATTTGTATTGAAAGTAGGGGAATATATTGAGCGAGTTGATCACGAGTTGAGCAATGCTTGTAAAAAATTGTTCGATTTGACTCGTTCTTTTTAAAGTTTGATAAAATTTTATTCGACTCGTACTTATTAAAAAATCTTGTTCCTCGACTCGTAGGGACGGAGCTATGCTTTGACCCAGGGACCACTGCCCCCCGTTGTTATTATTAAAAATATATATAGGTAACTTCTAATTTAGTGGTTAGTTTTAGTTTATTTTGATTTTGTCTCTTCATTTTCTATGGTTAATTATATTTGCCTCCCTCATTTTCTATGGTTAATTATATTTTGCCCCTTTTGAGTTTGAATCATGGCTATGTCCCTGTCGAACTTGACTCGTTGCTCGTTAAACTCACCTTAATTTGTACCTTATTTTTAATATATATATATATAGTAAATTAATAAATTAATAATATTAATTAATAATTTAATATTTTTCTTGTTGTTTATTAAAAAATTAATAATAATTATTAATTTGCAATTTAGCATATTTCTTATTGTATATTAGCAAACTAGTTATTATCAATTAGGTTTTCTTTTTTAATGGATTTTTTATGGTAGTTATTAAAAAATATTAAAAAATTAACGAACTGTTCGTGAATTTATCGAGTCAAATTAAATTTTTCTTGGTTCAACTCGTTAGAATCTCAAGTCAAATTTAAATTCAAATTAAATCAATTCGAATCAAATACTAGTCTAATTTTAATTAAGCACGACTTCCAAACTACTCATGTAAGTTGAAGAATGGATGGATGAAGGGATATATTATAAGAGACAGGGTGGCCATTGGCCAAACCTTATTTTGTAATCATGTCCATCCGTGATCCTGCTTTTCTTTCTTTGATGTGCTCTTTCACTTTTTCCTTCCCTTTCCTTTTCATCAATACTACTACCAGTACTATATACTTTGCTTTTCTTCAACTCGTTCAGTGTTTTGTGGAGAATAGCTTCCTATTTTGATTGATCACGGTTAGGGTCCAAAATTGCGATTATATTTATGTTTTCAATCGCATTATATTTATATAAAAAAAAAGTAAACGACAAAATTTACCTTCAAAAGACAAAAATTGTGCCTTAGGCTGCACGGCTATGAGATGCCAACCTTTTCTTTTTCGTTGCGCGATTTATCCGAGAAAATTTAATCTGCTGGCTCTGGTTTGTTCCCTGGATATGCAAACAGATTATATTTGTAGAGTTCGATTGAGTTTTCTTCCAATTATTATTATTATTATTTGTTGTGACACAAAATTACAATGTAGACAGTAATTTGCGGGACAAATGTTTCCACTTACATATTACTACAAAGATAAAACATTGCAATTTGCAAATAAAAGAATTCATGTTTAATTAACTTAATTCTGCCCGGTTTTAAGTGTTCATGTAATCAACCCTCAACTCAACCATATCTGCTTCCTTTTATTTCTAAAGCTCAAATTAAGCTGAAATTTTGGTGGTGGTTTACGATAGCGAATCCAGAAATATATTTTAAGATGGATATATATATATATATATATATAATATAATTTTTTCTTATAAAATGAGCGTAAAGTGTTTTTTAAAGTGAACATCATCGGTAAAAGAATATTTATTTTTATATAGACAACACCAATAAAAAATCATAAATTTTTTATATCAAATTGAATTCAAATGAAAAAGTTGTAACATTGTAAATGGAGCAAATTGGAGTGAAAAGGTTATTTCATAATGATCTCTTTAATACTCGATTTGATTAGTCGATCAATAGATTAGATACATATGATTAAAAAATCTTAGAATTTTGAAGAATTTATCATGAAGGAAAATTAAGTTTATTTTTATAGAAATATTTTTATTTTAATATATATTTATGTTAATTAATTTATTGTTGTTAACTATTAAAACATTTTTTGTTCAAATCATTATAAATTAAAAATGAATAAAAAAATTTAATTAAAATAAATCACATTGTTAATGAAAAAATATAATACTAAATTAACTTTTAGTTAAAAAATTACAATTATAAATATTGTGAAAATTTTACGAACACTCATTTTACAAAACAATATAAGTTATTAATAGTGTTGATAGGAATAACATGGGCTTATCAGTCGTGAGTGGTTGACTCATTTTGAAATTAAACATAGGGTTACAATTGATGGTGATGGTGTTGTCGCTGGTCGATGTTTCTATGTGAAAGGTGAATGAAAGAAGAAAAGGAGAAGGAAAAGGAAGAAGAAGCCCCGCTTCAATCGAGATTGAAACACATTTTCATAATGATCCTAATTGGTTGTGTTATATCTAAGGTAATAATAATTATTCGTAAGTTGATAGACTAAATCGATCTAATATTCAAATATTTAAACATCTCATTGGTAGGCTATTTTTGAGTCGGTTAGTCGATTTGTTTAAAGATTTTAGCACACTAAAGCTAATTTGAAAGGTAGCTGGAAATTCTAATAAAAGAAGATATTGTCATCGAGATCCTGAAAAGAAGATAATCAATAATTTGAAAAGATAATTTCTGAAAGTTCCAATATCCGAAAGTACAACAAATAACATTTAAAAAAATTGTACTTTTGATCGCATAATTAATGAAAATTTTTAGAAAACTGTATATAATATAATCATTCTTTTGATTATATAAACTTTTTATTACATAATTAAGGTAAGCTATTGCATTTAAAGTCAAATTAAAACATTTTTGTACTTTATGGCTCAAGGTACTACTAGATTGTCTACGCACTTCCTCGACCATCTTCAACGCTGCACTTCCCACACTCTTCATAGACAAAGCAGAGAACCAGTAAGGAAGCATTGGCCCGATGAGCAAACCGATGAAAACTTTAGGAGTCAATACATCAACTGTTGTAATATCAGCACGGCTCACGAAAGCACCAAAGAGAGCAAGGGACACCAGGGACGCAGAACCGATGGCGAAACCCTGGCAAGAAATGCAGATTGTTCAAGTAATTACCTGTTAAATATATAATGACAATGACGAGACAATCAAACCTTTCCAATGTTGTGGAAAACGGTTATCGAATAGAGAAAAATCGCAACTGATAATTTGAGAAAATAAAAATAGAGATAAAGATACACAAATTTTACGTGGAAAACCCCTAAATAATATAGGGTAAAAACCACGGGCAACAGTAGAAGAATTTCACTATGAGAAAATATGAATTACAACCTCTCTCAATCTACCAATGAGAAAACAATGATAATTCTCTCTTGATAAAAAGGAGAAAACAACTCTAAAGAAACTCTCTAAATTCTCTAGTATTGGGAGAAAGCTAAAATGATTTGGGATGATTTTGAAGCTAAATGAGCTATGGTATTTATAGTTGAAGCTTAAGGACTAATCTTAT